ACATGAGAGAGTAGCCCACTTAATGATAATTGTTCTTGAGGCTGTAGTTTATATGCAGCAAAACGAGGTAAAGGAGGACTTGTTTTAAATGTTGTTTTGTGGTTAGCTGTCATTACATTGCTGTCATTTGAGCTCCACAAAGCAGACCTGTCAGGAGCAGTTTTTTGCTATTTTATACCAGAAGACTTTTTGACAAAGTTCATTTTAGCTGCTGCCCATACTGCTGTAGCTACATGATTAGAGTGTGGGTAAACTATAATGACAGCATATTTATAAATTGTCTCATGGTACTTGTTTTAATTTCCATAAGCACAGGCAGCGTTTGCATTCGTTAAGACAAAATGACATACACATCCAGTGCGATTATCTTAAATGTACAGAGTAATGTTAGACTCAAAGCCTGCATTTATATTGTTTCTACTCATTAGTAGAATAAATCTTTTAAAAAGTATGATAGCCGTTATATATAGCTTAACCCCAAGTCAAATGCTTTTCTTTTATAGAGAGTGAACAAATAGATGCTTAAAGCTTTTTTTGTGGCTTCTTAAATCTTATTGTCTCTTATACGGCTAATAGCTGTTTAATTTGCAGCTAATTAGCTTATTGAAAAGATATTGTCCCTACACATGTGTCTCTGAGAGTTTCATTTAATTAAGTCACAAGGGAGGTGCTCATATTCTTCATTAAATGCTTAACTAATATGTGTGATGTGACATATACTTTGGCAACCTTTATTTTGTGCCCACAGATGTATGCATCCTAATTATAGTTAATGAATAAAAATGAACTTCTAAACACATTTTCAGATATCACATAGCCATCGAGTTAATTAGTTGCTATTTCGTATATTCTACGCTAAACGAAAAAAAAAAACATGGTGATAACTGAATGATAAATAAATAAATATATATTTTTTATATTATTATAGCATTACTATTAGTATTACTGTATTTTTTTTAAATAAAAGTGTGTGAAATATTACACCGTCTGGTACATTTTTCTATGAATTTTTTCTTTTTATCACATGCTTTAAATATGTTGGACTGTTTTGCCAAGATCCTGAATTCTCTTTGCAGTCCTGTGAGTTTTTTTTCTTTGACAGGACTCTAGATTTGGGGGGGTTGAATTCTTTATCGGCTGCCCTGCTCTCACTATTAGCATCTGTTGCGGGGTGTTTCTCCAGATAGCTTGGGGAACGGGAGTCTGGAAAGCCTTAAATTTGCACCAAGCCCTGTTTTTTATTTAAGACCGATTCCCTACAGGGTCTTGCATAAGACAATTACATGGTTCTTTGTTCACCCTGTTAAGTGCACTGAGCATGTCATTGAACATTGAATAGGAAATAGTAAATTGCTAGATGGCTAGTGCGGTTAGCATAGATGTGAAAACTGAATGGGAATTTTGGTTTGTAAACTCCTTCAGCATAGCTTTTACTCTCTTTTGGAGCATTAGCTCCTCCAGAAATCATCATAGCGAAGTTTTAAAATGACTATATCTACACTTCTGAAAACAAAGACCGACAGTTTTGGTGCTTTTTGACAGAGCTGGAAAACATTTATTTTGCCTGTCTGTTCCACAGCTGCTGTGCTGAACTGGGCAAACACTCCATGTCATGCCAAGCACAATATTGCCCCGGTTAAGTGGGTCTTTTTGCTGCTATGAGATGGACTCATCTTGCAGCCAGAGCCTGTCCCACTCAGAAGGTTTTTACAGTGTGCTAGACTTCCTGTGGCTGCTCACCCAATCACGGTCAGCCCTAGACGTCACATGGCAGGTCATTATCAGCTCATAAATCTCAGCAGATCTCCATAAACTTCTCTTTCATTCGGCCCAACCGTGCTAACATCGGCGTGGATGGTCATTAAAAAGGAAGGGAATGAAAGGCAGCAAGGTTGAGGAACGGTTTTGAAGTTACTTTGCCAAAGCGTGATCCAAGTAGGCTCAGATCTTTCTGGGAAAAACAGCAAATGAGGAATTTGATTGTGGTCCATTATCCTCTGCATTAAGCTGTGTAGTGTTGTTTCCTTTCTATTCGAAAATGCCAGATATATCTCAGCTCTTAGAGCTATTTGTTATGACATTGCTCTGTTATTTATGCCATGCTTTGAGTCTAGACAAATTTCCCACACTGCTCTAAACAACCAAACGCTCTCCCACGCTCACGCTCGAGATCTCGGGGAGTATTGATCTCCCTCTAGGGCCAGTGCTGTCCTCCTCATCAATAACACATTAATATCGACTGCCCAAGTACCTGCGTTGCCCGTTGATTGAAAAGCTATAGAGGCCAATTTGTTCCAATCTAAAAGTTTCTTAATTGAGTGATGACTGCTTATTTTGATTTTAAAAAATGGGTGTCTGAAAAGCTCGATTGGCCTTCATGAGCTATTTTAAAGGGGTCATATGAGGCTGCTAAAAATAACATTATTTTGTGTATTTGGTGTAATGAAATGTGTTTATGCGGTTGAAGGTTAAAAAACACATTATTTTCCACATACTGTAAATTTTTACAAAGCTCATCGGTCTGAAAAGCGAGGTGTGCTCTGATTGGCCAGCTATCCAGTGCGTTGTGATTGGCCGAATACCTCAAGCGTGTGACGGAAATGTTACGCCCCTTACCATGTTGTGATGCTCTGTCCGGCCGGAGCGACGAGACAAAAACATTAAAACCCATTATAAACGAGTCATTTGTTGCATCCAGTGGGGACATAATTATGGATTATAATGACTTATACTGTCTTTTTACGCGTTGCGTTGCATAGCGCTGCGTAAACATAAAACCATGTCTGCATTTGTGATCGGAGAAATGACAAACAACAAGCGCTACTCTACACTGCTCAAAACTCGCGTTTGAATCGTCAGTGGCAAATTCTTTAAATGTAAAAAAATGTACTTACTGTTGTGAGTCAGAACAGCCGGCATTGTAGTCTACTCATTGTAGTCTACCAGGATCAGGAAACAGTCCTCCATAAAATGCGCTGGACACATTGGAATATTTAGGTTAAACTGTTCTGGAACAGTGTTGTAAATACAACTTAACCACTGATTTCTAGTCGTGTCCGCTTTTGGAAGACCAAACAAAGTAGTTTCGCTTTCACAATGAAACAGCATCACACACCGCTGCCTAGAGTATGCGGAGGCCGGCTTGAGTGAGCCGAGGCGGGCGGTCTTGAGAATGGCCCGGCTGGAGGATTCAACGAAGGAGCGTCCGGCGGGCTTGCGGCAACCACATGTGACCGCATCATATGACCCCTTTAAAGAAATATTTTACTTGGTATACAGTCCTCATTTGCAACAAGGTCTGATGCATGAACTAATTGCCTGTGGTAAAATAAAATATTTTGATCATTAATAGTAATGCTTTTCATTTTGAAATGTCTTTGTTTTTCTTAGGGCACTATAGATGTTAGAAAGTGTATGTGTGTGTGTGTGTGTGTGTAAAAACAGGTTATTTAATTATACTGTATATGTTATAGTTTTATATTTTACAATAGATAGATAGATAGATTAGATTTAAAACGGGCAAATAATATTTTTATAAACGTTTATATATATATATATATATATATACACACATATATGCAATGAGTAAATGTGAAGTTGTTTTTATCATGGGGAGCCATGCAGATGTTCTTTTACAGATGTTACTCTGACAAACTATTACAGTCCGAATAGTGCTCATGTAGTTGGAGACATCCACTGTCTAAGTTTGACTATCAGCCAGTACTGGATTTGGAGAAGAGAGACTGTTACAAATTGTTTATGTTGTATGATGACAGGTTTATCAACATCCGTACGTGTTTGAAAGAGAGGGAGAGAGAATCCCTGGGCTCTGAATGCCAGTATGAGTGTTTACTCTAGACATTGTGCAGGATTTTCTAGAGTGGTTTAACAGCAGAAGGATGGTCAAGGCAGAGCAGTGTGGATGTACAGGGTGTAAATCAGGTCAGACAGGGTTAAGCCAGGCTAGATTACTCGCTGTCTTTAGCTGAGACCTTTCAGATTGCCTTACACACACATAAACGCATAGAAACACAGACATGCGGGCAGATAACTCCTATATAGATGGATTTTTACAAGCGAACAAGAAACCGTCTTCTGTCTGTAAACATTAGTACTTGTATGAAGTATTTTTTGATTAAATATTTGTATAAGTTATTCATTGAAAATTTTGAGTGTTTATAAGAGAAATAATAATGTTAGATTTGTTAACGAATCATTTTTTTGGGCTTGATCTTTTCAATAAATCAGTTAGCAAAACCAATCTGAATGATTTGTTCACCAATCTTACATTTAAAAAAAAGTGCAATTCTTAATTTTCCCCCTTTTGTACCATGGAATAAGTAAACTCATACTGATTTAGAAAAACATGACGGTGTGTAAATGACAAAAAAAAAAAAATCTTTTTTACATGAGCTATACTTGATGAGCATAATAATAATACATAAAAGATCTGGCATACAATGCTGAAACATTCAAGTTTACTGTATGTTGTTTACTTATGTGCACTTGTTTATATGTCCTACATTTCTAAATGCGGTGCACCAGCAGGCCCAGACTAAGAGTACCTCAAGATAAGATTACGTGGCATAGTAATACTGCGTGACATACAAACCTCACGAAAAAAAACTCTAGTTTCTCCTTAAGGAGTTTTGCTTAGCCTTCTCCATCAAACATTCATGAAGATACACACATGCACACACCAATGCACGCAATGCTCTCAGCTCCACAGATGTAATGTGTGCTATAAGTCTTTTTTATGTGATCGTTCGTATATAGAAAGTGCACGGAATGAGAACAACATGGCTTCTGTCTTTGTGTGGAATGGTTTCTTGTCATTCTTGTGCACTTATAATGCAATTAAAATCAATCCGTAGATTTTGAAAAATGAAAATGTGCTTAATATTGCTTAAATGACTGCACAGAATAAAAATCAATGTTGTCCTGTTAAATGCATGTCGAGATGGATAAACTGATTTTTTTCCATCCGTGTTTCCCCTCAGCCAATCGGAGCGCTGAACCCAAAGCGTGCTGTATTCTACGCCGATCGCTATGAATCATGGGATGAGGAAACTCCACCCTGCCACTACACAACCCACTATTCCACTGCAGCCTCCACCCTCCACTGGCTTGTCCGAATCGTAAGTCTTGTTGATTGGATGGATGCAAGGAATTTGATATCTTCAACATCTGGGAAGTACCTAGTTTTACTGGATAGTTAACCGAGCTGAGCTGTTTCTGGCTCTTATTATGGCTTCTATGAATGGTAAATCATATCACGTAAGTCAGTTTTCCACAAGAGGAAGTGTAATTACGTCACCCCTTCATGAATATTCCAATGATTACTATGCAAATACCCCTTTGTATTGAAGATTTGTATTACATGAAATCTTTCATATTTACATGATACCATGCAAAATCTATGCAAAACTGTAATATTCTTCAAAATGTATCATGGTTGTACTTTGGAAATGATGCTGTCAAGAGTCTGTGTATACATAAAACATTCCAATTCGATATCTCCGAACCCAGTTAGTGGATCAAATCACCGTCAGTCAAAGCACACGTTAGCGCTTCCTTTCACCGCACATGTGAATCAATCCTTACATCTCAATCCGCGAGCTTGATGTTCCGCTACAGAGAGCCGGTGAGTGGATTTCACAGGCTGGTAAACAGGCATATGGGAAAAAGAAGTCAAAAACCTTTGCGTAGAGATTTACTGGCTGGTACGTGACAGCGTTATGCCTCTCAGACAGAACGCGGAGCGCTGGGAAACATGTCAATCATTGTCTCCTGCTAACGTCCTCGCTTGCCCTAGGTCTCCAAGTGCTGATCTGGGACGAATGGACTGGTACAAAAAAATAAAACACCCAGATTTCTGCAGAGAAAATGAAGTTGTTCCTAAGGTTGAGAGGAAATTGGGTTTGAGTATCTCCTGATGCTTTCAGTTTTTCCACATTTGTTACATCATATGACTATGTTTTACTCGTCTACTGTTGTTTTGTTACATAATTCCATTTTTTCACCATATAAACATTTTATACCAGAGCTCAAATCAGTAATGCGGAGTGTTTTGATGAGGTCTGCATACTCGTTTCTGCATCAGATTTTATGATGAATGCAATCTAAGCCAAGTGTAGTTTGTTTTCAGAGCAATTTTTGCATGTAATTTGATTGAAAAGGCATTAAAGCTTGTTTTATTAATTTTAAAAGACTGTTGTATAATCACACCTCTTTTAATGAGGAATCTGTCTATCCATCTTGCGAGACAAAATTAAAACACATAATGAAAACTTAGTAATTGGCTCTTCCGAGGCAGGCCGTTGTGTTGGTGATGATGGTTTGGGAGGTTAACCTTGGCAGCTCTCACACCGGGCTTGACTGAGACTGTAGACACCATCATCTTTTCCTCTGGCTGATCCAGCATCTCCATGTCAACTCCTCGTACTGCCAACCCAGACTGATGACCCTGAATATGCCAATTAGAGCCAGAGCTGAGCTCCTCAGCCAACAGGCCATATAATTAACTCCGCCTCGGGCACTGTTACAGAAAATGAGAGGACAAAAAAAACCTTCCACAAACTCTTCATAATCTGACAGATGAGTCCCTACATTGAGATGTTTGTGCAAACGGAACGTTTCCCAGAGCAATGGAGAAGGACTCCATCACGAGATTGAATCCAATTACCATAGAAATTAATGTAGATGAATTTACTTTGTTATTCTACAGATGTTTGGGCCAATGAATAGCATTAGGGCTTTGCAAAACGGAGCAGATATGTCTAAACAAGCGCCTAATTAGCAGTCAGAATCATGTGATACCTCTACGGTTATTTTCACACATTAGGAAAGAGAGCTTATTTGGGTCAATAAAAGTGACAGTGTTGTTTTGTGTCTGCTCAATTGCAGGAGCCTTTCACCACATTCTTCCTAAACGCCAACGGCAACAAGTTTGATCACCCAAACCGCACGTTCTCCGGGATCGCCCGCTCATGGAGGCACTGTCAGCGTGATACTGCGGATGTGAAGGTAATCAGATATCAGTTTTTGTACATCGTAATATCTAAACAGGCTTAGAAAGTAGTCATTAGTGCCTGACTGTTATGATGATATAGGTGCAACATTACTAGCTGCAACTGTGAGGAACTGAATAAACAGTTCTTCGAAAAATGTGTCTCCTTTCAGTCCAATCAGTCAACCAATATTGATATCATCCAGTTCCCAAAAAACAAATGGTATTGCATTGTTTTGATTTGCAGCAACATTTTAGTTCCTGGAGCTTCCAAGCTGCATCAACACTGTCCTTTTTCCATTTATATGTGCATTTTTTTGTGAAATCAACATTTTTTCTTCATACATATTTAAAGTAAAACGTCGTTCAACATGCACATATTTCAGAGAGGCATCACTTCATCACCGTAATGGTTGTTCCCCGTTGCCTCCGTTCCATTTCAGCCCCTCTCTGCGGCTCAGCAAGCGCACTCGAGCTGACCTAAAAGTGTCATACTTTTCCAGCACACTCTGTGATGGGTTAGCTTCGCCCCAGGCAATTAATAAAGCATTAATGACAAAAGCTATTTAAAATGTAGTCTTTTATGTAAAGGCAGGGCTTTTTACTACCCCGGGCTGGGAAACAGCATCCAACAACATGAGGTACAGGCGATATGCACGGCCAGTGAACGGCTGTACAGGGAAACTCTAGATATGTTAGCAAATACAGGCCTCTCGGAACCACTACGGTGTCTGTGTGGAAAATGTTAAACATATTTAATGGTCACCAGTCTGTTAGTTTTTTTTTGTGCATTTTCTTGTGGAGCAGGAGTTGGTTTTTATTATGTATGAGCAGCATGATTTTCATCATAAAAGACTATGCCTTTGTCCTGTATTACCTGTATTATCAAGTATTAATATTCGGTTTTAACAATCTAACTATCCAACTCACTAAACTCTTTCACATACACACACTAAAAATAAAAACTCTGATGAGCCATCATTTTTTGCTTTATTTTTTAGTATATTCACTTAATTTCATTAAGATATTTAGTTAATTGTTTTAAGGAACATTTTCCAGAGAATTTTTTAATCACTTTTTAAATTGTACACTATATAAATTAAAATCTTAATTAACTGACTGTATTATATATGTATATGTGTGTGCATGTGAGCACACACACACACACACACACTTTTTTCTTTTTTACCCTTAGTGTTTTTTAGTACTGTTGCAGTGGTCTTCAGTTCAATCTGCATCACTTCACCCTGAACTTATTCATTACCCACAGTACTCTCTGTAATGATCCCATGCAGCAGGAAACAGCTAAATAACAACATTAAAAGAGCAAATCAAAGTTCACTGGCCATTTGGTCTTTTTAGACTACTGCCTCAGCACTGGCCTTGTCTTATAAAGGTCAGTTTGCTGTATCATTGATCTATTTCTGTTATAAATGTGTGTATATGTACAGATCTGTCTATAGATATTTTAGTTAGATATGTCATGCCAATTTGACGATGTTTTATCATTGTCAAGGTATAAGAATATGCTTTTAAGTATTGTCAAAACATCCAGCTAGTGATCAGCAGAGCACTCTGGCCTCCTGCTAAGAGCAAAAGAGTTACTTTCCCTCCAATCGTCACCAGTTTCTCAATAATCTGTTGGCGGTGCTCTGTCTGAAGGAGTGGGATGAGGCAGTCATGCCCGGTGACAGCTCTCCAGGAGGGTGTCATTAGGGCGAACAGTGTAAAGCTGAAGAGTCTGAGTGTGATTGACTTGTCAGCCCATTATGAGGCTGTAGTGAGGCTGTAGAGGAATTATTGGCTCACGAGTGGAGCGGGCTGAGGACGTGGATCGCGACGCTAGCAGCCCAAACTGTTCACGACTGAGTAACTGTCTGCAAAGTTTATAAACCAAACCTCCACTGAGAGTAGAGATGGAGCTCTGTCCGATTTTGACTTGGCCTTCGAGGTCGAGTTTAAACTTGGCTTTAATTTTGGAGTCAATATAGTACCGTCAAGATTTAGTTGTGAATATGTTGTTGTGTGATGATAATGAATCTCCTTGACGTTTAAAATTCACACAAAATGTCAAAACTATATTGCTCATAATCAATATAGTGGAGCCTACACTGGATTCAATGCAACTTAAGGTGACAGATGTCTTATTTCTATATTGAGTGCACTGCAAAACTACTTTAAAGCTACTTTATATTTCCCATCGATCTGAAATAAGATGATGTTATTGATATGTTTTTGCTATAGATTTGATTCATTATATATTTAAATACCTTCTGACCCTTCTGGACGTCTTGTGTTTTGTAAATCTAGTTTTTCATTTTATAATTATTACATTTTAGAACAGCAAAATTAATTTCTAATATTAGTATTACTGCTGTAAAACTGACCATAATGGATTGATATGATAATAAATATTGATAATAATTGGGATTAATTGACATTCTGAAGGATTGTTGAAATATTGGAGCGTAACAGTCATAAAAGAGAGTGTATTTTTAAATACTGACCCTACAGTAAAAGCACGCTGTGTTTTATTGTTGGCATACTGTTGCTTGTGACCCAGCATGTGAAAGTCCTCTGTTTTATGGTGCTTTAAAGAACTCTCTTATACTCACCAAGGAGACTTAGTTAAACAGCTCCTTTCAACAGACGCTGTATAACAGCAACTTGAATCCAAAACAGCAGTATTGGGGAGAAAACATTCAACCTGTCAGCTTCAGATGTGTGCAGGCAGAATGAGGTCTTAAATGATTTTAAAAGGTTTTAAAGGTTCTTCAAAGGCAAGAGCTTTTGACTGACACTAAACGGGGAGGAGGTCACATTCCTCGTGTGCACATGCCCCAATGTACAGAGGTGTCTCTCACAGGGAATTATGGGTAATTTGCACTGATAGGGCAGTGAGAACAGAGAAGGATTGGGAATGTTTAGCTTTAAGAGACTTATCATAGTCAGGGAAGTGTGTCAAAAATTAAGCAAAAAATTAATAATGCCTTCAGATCAGTAGAACGATGAAAGCTTTTACGGTGTTTGTGTATTTACACTTCTAAAAGCACAACTAGGGGTTAAAATGGGCCGTAATAATCCATAATGACATTGTGACACCTTTAAAAAGAAAATGTTAGGCGTTCCCGTCCATTTTTAGTTTTTTTTATCAAAACATATTTGTCACCATTTAATGAGTGTAATAATTTTTTAAATCTTTAAAGTTTATTAAATTTAAGCATTATGCTTCCCTCTGTCATTTCGAATCATGGCTACTCAACCAAAATCCCAATTTAGCCTCTGGGCACAACAAAACCAAACCTGCTTCACGTACTTCAACAGATACAGCAGATCCATCCATCAGCTCACTTCAAACATTAATAAAGTTTTCTGTCATCTCTCGCGTTTCCTTTGTATTTTCACCCTCCCCCATCGTTGTGCGTTTACCGCATTCCCACACTCGCCGAGTGTTTTTAAATGTACTCTGATGGTTCTTCACTGGTCTCCTGGGGTCGCTTTCCATGGCCGCCTGAAACATTGCCAACACTTTGATTAATTGAACTACAAAACATGCAATGTTGAAAGCATTGGTATTTTTGCATGTGCATTTTTAACTCCCCTGTTCCCTGTATCCCTATACAATATTAATAAATCCGTTTTGGAAATGTTTGGATTTGATTTGAGCTTCTCTTGCTTTTTCTCTCGCTCCTGTCCTCTTTCTCTGCACCTCATAGGAGTTGATTCCTGAGTTCTACTACCTGCCTGAGATGTTTGTGAACAGTAATGGCTACTGTCTGGGTGACAGGGATGACGGTGTCCCTGTTTGTGATGTAGAACTACCAGCCTGGGCAAAGAAACCAGAGGACTTTGTAAGGATCAACAGGATGGTAAGTCAAACTCACTAATGGCTAATGTCTAGGCCTGAACAGAATCTGCACATACAGGATTCTGTCATTCACAAAGACACTTTGTAGACACCATAGTGGACCTTAGTGAGCCTTTCTCATCTCAGAGCCCAAGACAATAGTTGTCCTCTTCCAGCCATCACTCTCTCTCTCTTCTGTTTAGCTTTGGGAATATTGGGAAACGATTCAGATTGGGATTCTTGTTCCGATTTCTCCTTATGGTTCTGGTTCTTTTTCCTCAACAGTTCCATTAACAATTCTGTTGATACTTTTAAGAAATCATTTTAAAAAATGTTTATGATTTACTAAAAAGAACTCTTAAATCTTTCATTCTCACAAAGGCAGCCTTTTTTAAATCTATTAGTTTGATAAAAAAAAATCCAGTAATATTGTGAAATATTATTACAATTTAAAATAACTGTTATATTATATATTTAATATACTTTAAAATGTAATTTATTTCTGTGATGGTAAATCCATTACTCCAGTCTTCAGTGTCTCATGATCTTTCAGAAATCATTCTAATATGCTGATTTAGTGCTCAAGAATAATTTCTTATTATAAATGTTGAAAACAGTTGTGCTGCTTTATATTTTTGTGAAAACTGTGATACTTTTTTTTCCAGGATACTTTGATTAAAATAAAACAACATCTATTTGAAATAAAAATCTTTTTCAATATTAAAAATGTCTTTACTGTCACTTTTGATCAATTGAATGCAACCTTGCTGAATAAAAATATTAATTTCTTTCAAGTAAATGAGTGTAAGCAAATCTGAGTTAGAAATCTGATACATTTTTGAATATATACGTTAAGACCTTAATGTCTGAATTAAATCTGCAATCTTAAATTCTTAGTCCAGTATTTAATCTGTAATCCATTTCCTTCTGTCTGCTCCCTTGAGATAACACTCATTCGTTCAAATGAAACAGCATCCTGGTCCTCAGCAGGCCTCTGCGTGCTGCTTTTCCACAGTGAAGGTCATAATGCAGTGCACTGCTCGATACTAATGTAATCTACCGCTGACCTGAATGATGTCACGGAGGACAGGCCTGGCCACTGTCCCTTATAATGTTACCCTAATGCCAGCTTCATCAATCATGATTTGGCCCGCAGCAGACAAGATGTGTGTGTGTGTCCACCAATCCCTGTAGACTGTGGTGGGCTTGAAATTGTGTTCTGCCTCTTATAATGGCCCTATCTTACTCATATACTCATAAAAATGAGAGAACCGCAGGGAGACATGGGAATTGTATATGCTGCAAGATGTGGAATTTGCGTCTTTGTTCATTTAATGATTGTGTATCAACACTTCTGCCTTTTCAAACTATTAAGGATGTGTTGTGGCCCATGCTGTGTGTGTGTGTGTGTGTGTGTGTGTGTGTGTGTGTGTGTGTGTGTGTGTGTGTGTGTGTGCTGTGTGTGTGTGTGTGTGTGTGAGCGAGCGTGCGCGTGCGTGCGTGCGTGTGTGCACTACAGGAAACACACTTGACCTTTTCAGATGCAGTGACAGTGCTGGGGTGTGTGTGTCTTGTGGAGGTGACCTTTCCTCCAGCCTCATTTTTTTTCTTGTTTTAACACTTTCAGTTATAGAGACACACATACACATGCACATATCTAAAGATCTCACAAGTAGCTGTCTGTTAAAGCGAGATTTTCTTAAGAAAGGGCTTGAGGATGTCAAAACACCTCAGATATATCAAACTATTTTACATGAGCTTTGAATGGGGCAAAATGCATTCAGTTCTCACATTTTGATTTCCTCTTTCTGGTAAAACTCAGATTTTTGTGGCCCAAAATACAGCGTCTTCATAATTTTTACAAAAGCTGGTGTAAATAAGACATAATAAGCTTCTCCAGTGCGGTCATAATTTACGTTCTGAACCCATTTGACATTATTTCTTCTATGAAACAGAAAAAACATTTAGTAGAAAGTCCTGGTGCCTTTTTCTATAATTCTATTCCTTTTAACAATTCCAATTCTGTTTTTAATTTACTAAAAAGAACCGAAGAATCATTCATTCTATCGTTCATTAAAAATGTCACTGGTTCTGAATAAGAATTCGGATTCTTACATTACATTTTTTCATGTAAACAGTTCATGTAAATAATTCACAAGCCAAATAAATTATTCATTTCATTGCATATTAATAAATCTTCTCACATAGGGACCAGAAAAGCAGCATTAAAGTACCATAATTTTGGTCCACTCCATACATCCGGTGTGCTATATGTCAAGTCTTCTGAAGTCATATGATACATTTTTATGAGGAACAGATTGAAATTTAAGTCCGTATTTGCTGAAAAAATTATTTCTGTTGTAGCTCTCAAATCTTACTAGGTTGATTTCGTTTGATTTCACTGATGTCAATCATGTCTTGACATATTGACAAACCATGTTTGAATATTTATCTTGCCATATTTGCAGGACATTCTGTAAAATATCATCCTTTGTGATCCACAGCAGAAAGAAATGTGATATTTGGGTCTCTTTAATTCATACACTGAACATGCAGAAATAGCAACACAAATATCCAGTTTCAGTAAATATTCATTTCATTTTGTGGTTAGTTTTTAATGTAATTATTTGGTTTGTTGCAATGACTAGTAGTATTTTAGGTTAGTTGAATAGCAAATACATTTTTAAACAGGCTACGGCTCGATTTTGTCCTTAGATCTTGTCCTTTATTTTTCTCTCTCTGCTGCTCTTTCTCTCCGTCTCATTTAATCCCCTCTTTCTCTCCTTGTCTTTGTGCTCCCTTCCTCTCTCTCTCTCCATTCCCCTCCTGCCACACATTTCTTCCTCTCTTTCTTTCACTTAGTGTTCCCATCTTTGCATGTGTCACTTTCGATTGTAATGACAGCCCCTGCGCTCCCCGGCTTGCTCTGTTGGTAATAGCTATTATTTCTGTGTGAGTGTGTAAATTCCAACAGCAGTGCCCTGGGTGTGTTTGTGTGTGAGAGGGAAAAACGTGTGTATTTGTGTGCCATTCTGTGTTATTTGTTCATTCTTTTTTACCCCTTTCTTACCCCCACCCATTTGTTATCTCAAGATGACAGTTTTTGATACCTATAATAAAGCACTTCTGTGCATCTTTAAGCATTAACAGCAGTATTCAGGCATGTATTGGAATAGAATTGTTTTGAAGAAACTATAGAGGAAATGCTCTGTGTGTGTAAATGTGTGTGTGTATATACAGTATACATGTGTGTGTATATATATATATATATATATATATACTGTATATACTGTATATATATATATATATATATATGTATATATATATGTGTGTATATATATATATATATATATACTGTATATATATATATATATATATGTGTGTGTATGTGTGTATATATATATATGCATATATATATATCACCTACAGTGAGCATTTCTGTATTTTTTTCAAAACAATGGTTAACTAAAACTAAACTGAAACCACAAGAATTTTTTTAAATTTAATTACTTGAAATAAAATGAAGGTATAATTTAAAAAATATATAACAAAACGTATAAACTTTTTACTATTAACTATTACATATAAAATATAAACTTATTACTATTAACTATTAAATATTAAATAACTATTAAAAATGTATAAAAACTATATGGACATATTCAAATAATAAAAATGACAAAAAACAACAACAAAATGAATATATTAATATAAGCATACTAATACTAATAAATACTAATAAAATAATAACTATACTAATAAATGAATATAATATACTAATATTTTGTATTCATTAAGAAATTAATCATTTTATTCAGCAAGGACACTTTAAATTGGTCAAAAGTGAGAGCAAAGACCTTTATGTCACAAAAGATTTATTTTTCCAATAAATGCTGTTCTTTTGAACTTTCTCTTCATCAAATTAATTTTTCCATGAAAATATCATTCAGCAAAATTGTTTTCAACATTTATAATAACAAGAAACATTCTTTTAAATTGTATGTAATACTTCACAATATTACTCTTTTTACTGTATTTTTGATCAAATAAATGCAGCCTTGGTAATCATAAGAAACTCTTTTCAGAAACGTTAGAAAAGTACAGACACCTAACTTTTGATCAGTACTTTATTGTTATTGTTTATATATTTTATTTTCATTTTTAAGTGTCCAAATACTTTTAGGGTCTCTGTGCTGTATGTAGTTGGATTAGTTAAATTTCAGTGTCAAGGGGTGTGTCTATTACATTTCGGACTCTTATGACGATCTCAAGCTATTGCAGTCTTCTAAATCGAGAAGCATCGCCCCGAGTGTATGTTTATCTGTGCATGTGTACGCCTGTGTGTGTTTACATTAATGTTGTGTATGTGTACCTTTCACCTCTAATTGTCCCGCTTTCTTTGACAGGCCCTGGAAAGCGAGTTTGTGTCGTGTCAGCTGCACCAGTGGATTGACCTTATTTTTGGCTACAAGCAACGTGGACCCGAGGCGGCACGCGCCCTCAATGTCTTTCACTACCTGACCTACGAGGGCTCCGTCAACCTCGACAGCCTCGCCAGTGATCCCCCATTGTACGAGGTAGGTCACCGTGGAGGCGTTGCTATGACAACGGCAACAGGCTTTCAGAATTGGTGGCTATCATCTTTTTCTTTTTCATTTTTGTAATTGGACTGTGTCAGTAGAGGGTAAAATGCTTTATAAATGTCACCACTAGATGGACTACTGTCTACGCTAGCATTATATAGCTAAATAGTGTGGGATGTTTTTAAATTGATATATTTGTAGTTAACTTTTCTTTTAAAGTACAACAGGTTTAAAAACTGTGGCGTAAGATTGGCAATATCAGCATTCGTTAACCGCCTTTCAAACATGAATGAACCCAGTTTCAGTTGAATATCTGACTGTCAGTATGTGTCATTCAGATCTTGTCATGCAAATATGTCCTCTGGGAAAGAGAAACTCAAACTGATTACTCATGTGCTTTGGATCTTCTGCCCTGAATAGTAACCGTAAAACTTTAGGTACAAATAAGTACTTTACTTAAAGGTGCATTTGATAATGTCTGTGCCAATATAAGGCATCAGACAGATTTGCAATGAAAATTTCAATGTAAATGTACAATGTAAAATGGTTTTTGCCCATGTAAAGTCACCACCACGTGCCAAAATGTTGTGGGTGATTGCCAGTGTGTTGCTATGTGGTTGCTAGGGTGTTCTCTGTGGTTTCTAGCTGGTTGCTTTCTGTCAAAAGCTCCCCCTAAGCCTTTAAAACATAAATCTTTGGATTGGTTTTATCATCCACTGGGAAAAAATTTTATCATATAGAGAAATAGTAGTACTCCTACCCACAATAAACCACATGATATATCATTAATGTCCATAGTATAAATGGTGCACAAACAAGCATTATTTTAGTACTTGTAAAGTACTTGTATTTACACAGTAAAAAAAGAGATTATTGGAGTATATTTTACAAGAAAATACTATTTCAGTTTTTCTATTTCAAAATGCCATGTTTAATTTAATGTTACTCACCATTTTTTTGTAACTGTTTGTGAAATTTACTGGCAATTTCTGAGTGAAAATTGTTTCTACAGCTTTATTTTGCATGCAATTATAATATATAAATATTTTGAATCAGCTATTTTTTGTAATATATAAATATTTTGAATCAGCTATTTTTTGCAGATTTAACTTTACATTTTTGTAAATGTTATGTGCTGTTGTCATTTGTATTATTATTATTAATATAATTATTAGTATTATTTCAAATATTTTTATTTTGGTTTTAGTTTTATTAATTGTAGTAATTTAACGTAACCTTATTTTAGTTAGCTGCCAAGGCAACAAGTTTAAGTTTTTCTTATAATATTTATATTTTCTTTTAGCTTTATTTCAATTAGCAAAAACAAGGTTTAAGTTTAGTTTCAGTTTTAAGGATTCTAATTTAACAACACTATATTTGACATGAAATAGTATTATTTATTTATATTCTGGTTACTAAAATTGAATTCATCAAGCAATTACGATGTAAATCAATGTTATTGATTTTCCACAGAGTACTCTTTATTGACTGGTGGAAGTTTTGAAAATGACTTAATTGTGTTTGTGGATATGACTCCAATTCAACAGCAGCAGCTGGTAGGCAGTGTGTTTGTAGCCGTATGTACCCCATTCCTCCCTCCCTCCCTTCCTCCTCCTTTTCTCGCTCCTGTTCCCTCTATCTCTCCCGCTCCCTGTGATACCCACCATCTGCTGTCTGCAAAACAAGTCATTTATATACTGTCACTTCCAGGACTGCCTTTATTTGTCAAGTGACCACTATGCAAATCACTCACGGAACAGGGGGGCTAATTATCAAACAATATGGAGAAAGCTTTGCTTTTCATCATTCGGCTCTACATTCCAGACAATAGCAATTATGTTTCTTTCATGTGGCCGAGTACTTCACAAGCAGTCTAGCACTCTGAGAGCAATGGTAGCTGACTGCAAGGCTTGTGAACCTAGGAAGAGCCAGAAAACCTGCTTTTATATGTCAGTTCTGGAGTTTGAGAAGCCTTTATGTTCCATTCAGCATATTAATAAAGTCTATATTGCTTTTTATGTCGTCCAAGCACCTGGCAACTGGCATTCAGACACTTAAATGCTGAGGAGAGCTGACCTCAACTTGACTTGTTAAATGCATGAAGGAATTCATGAGATTTTGCTCTATTTGTCCAACTAGTTAACCAATGCCCCTTGAGCTCAAAACATTAAAGCAATAACCTCACAGGCAAAATATACTGACCTCAAGTAGGCTAAATTCCCTTCCGTTTCTAAGGTCTCTCGGTCTCAACCGGAGAGGGAGGACAGCTCAGAAATGTGACCGTCACCTTCAGGCTATTGATTCATTCTCCACTGACAGGTGCATCCACAGCTCTGACATTAAGCACTGCAATTACGGCCTTAAAATGTCAAACTCTGGAGTTAAGGGTCATAACTCGTTCCAGAGTCAAATCAAAATGGCAGCAGTTGATGATAGAGTCACAGGACTCTATTGGCAGGCTTATGTCACAGGAGAAACAGCATTTACAGATGAAGAACATGCCAGCAATCTTTTGATACACATTTTTATTGCATGCAACCATTATAAACAGTCTGAGAGCACTGCTTGTGAATTATTATCCGTCACTAATGAGCATTTTAATTATGCAATCACAAATGAGTAGAGCATGTCAGTGTAAGAAAAGATAAGAGTAAGGTGTTCTTTTCAGTTTCTTGTGTTTAAAATAACAGATGTAAACTCCCCTTTTCCAAGTCTGAATTATTATACTTATTATATTATACTTTATTATTATTATTATTATTATTATATTTTAGTACTTTTTGGAGTCTACTTTGATATTTATTATTATTATTATTATTAATATATTTTATTTTTAGTTTACATTGATTTTTTTATTATAATGTAATTTATTATTATTTTAGTTTTTAGAGTCTATTGTTGTTGTTGTTTTTGTTATCGCATTATTTATTATATTTTAGCACTTTATTGGAGTCTATGTTGATATTTATTTTATTATGAGTATTATTATTTTACTTTTTATTATTGTTATTTAATTTATTTATTTAGTCTACATTGTTTTGTATTTTATTTTGATTGTATTTTAGTGCTTTTTTGAATTCTATGTTAATATTTAATAATAATAATAATGTATATATTTTTTATTATATATTTTTTCTTAAGTCTACCTTGAATTTTATTTTTTAATTGGATGCCAAATGATTCATTCAGATGTCTGAACATTTTTAAGAGAATGACTTAGTGTCAAATATGGTGTAAATAGTTTTGTGGTGAAAACTTGTGAAATTATGTTTTAGCCTCATCAGCCTTGATGTCAACATGTCTTAAGGCACTCTATTCCACACAGGCCTACATGAACATATAAAAGGCCTACCTTTTAGATTTAAATATGTTTTTTTATCTTCTTTTTTTTTTCTCTGCAGCCCATCACTAAACTCACACCCTTAAAAATCCTTATGGTTCTCTAAAAGCCTGAGATGAACATCAGAGCTTTGACATACTTGCACATCCTGACCCAAAGATGTGATTGACATGCCACAGGTTATGATGGATGTTTTATGTCCATCTCAGCGTGATGGCTTATAGCTCTGGTGGAAACGATCAGCGTACAGCTCGTGCAAGAGGTGTTTCTTATCAGCCGTAAAGAGCAGGGGCTTAAAGTGGATTATAGTAATGAACTGCCAGTTAAGAGTTACAGATTTCTGTTGGTGATAAAGTGTGTTTTTCTCCAGAGCTCAGATGAGCAACCAGTTGACACTGTGGGTCTGTTGACAACACTGAGATGATTTAAAGGATGTGCCCCTCATATAACCCTAGCCGCTTTGACTCTAGACATAATCTGTCAGAATTGGATGTATAACAAGGTACAGTTGCTATAAATGCAGGATGTTTTTTTCTGGACATTACATTCTGGATGTTGAAGTGCTGATCTAAATGTTAGTAGGGTCAGTAAGATTAAACAAAATTATACTTCCATTAATTTTAGCAATACTTGTATCTCAGTTGCATCAAACGTATCATAGTTTACATAAAAATATTAATATTAAAAATATTAAGCAGCACAACTAGTTTCAACATTTATAGCAATACAAAATGATTTTTGAGCATCAAATCAACTTGAATGATTTCTGAAGGATCATGTGGTACTGAAGACTGGAGTAATGATGCTGAAAATTCAGGTTTGACATAATAGGAATAAATTACATATATGTAGAAAACAGTTATTTTAAATCGAAATAATATTTCACAATATTACTGTTTTAACTGTATTTTTAATCAACTAAATGCAGCCTTGAAGATCATTAGAGACTTCCTTCCAAAATATAAAAAAATCGAACTGAGCCCAAACTTTTGACTGGTAGTGTATATATATATATTGTTTTTGATATGGAACGTTTATATTCATATTTCTGGACTTTTAGAAGGAATTCTTCTCTCATTTTTTCTTCACTGTTGGAAGGCAGAAATATAGTGATACTTTCCACATGGCTGCCTGTTTCTCTCAGATCTTCAGATCAGATTACATTATTTGAGCAGACATTGTGACCCCTGTTCCTGAGTCTAACCTAAAATAACTATAATGTGAGCGCATTATTATTTGACAGACAGCACCGTAAAGCAGCACAGACTGACATTTAATTGTTACCAAATGTGATTGCACTGAGTCGTGAGAGCTCTGCTTGTGTCGAATTTTGCCACCAGGATCAGGCCAAGATTATATCATTTAAGTTCGATATGTTCTTATTTGAAGTACTTCAGCAAGAACTAGTCTCCTCCGTTCCTCTCATTTCAGTTGCACAATTGATTATAATTCTGCAGTTTCGCTGCTTCCAAAGTGCTATGAAGTCAAAGTGAAACATCATTTGCACACCATTTTAATTCTGTAAGTGAAATAGGATATTAATGAGAACAAATTTAGAATAATGTCAATTAAGAAAGTACATTTTTGATTTTGTGTTCACTTTAAAGTGAATATCTCTGGAAAACAAGTATTTTTCTTAAAAAAAAAAGACCTGTTGAATGTTAGAAGTCATGTAATATTACACATTTCTTTAAACTGTAGTCTATGTAAACATGTTGTGAATGAAACTAATTTACATTTTTGAATTTAGTGTTTAGAATTCAGAATGGTTCCAATTCTAAACTTGTACACTACTATATATATGTGTGTGTGTGTGTGTGTGTGTGTGTGTGTGTGTGTGTGTGTGTGTGTGTGTGTGTGCATAAAATAAAAATAAAAAATCTTGTTTTCCCTTTGAATGAAGTTTACCTTTCTTACTTCATTGCAGATATTTTTTCTTGTTTTTAACATAAACTCACTTAATTTTTATACATTTCTCAGACAAGGCATAATATCTTTTTCATTCTCAAGTTAAGTGTATCTTGATTAAAAGCATGTTTACATATTTTTACTGGAAAACATGACTCATACTAAGTAGGAAAAAAATAATTTCTGTATAGGTCATGTGACAAGTTTAACATGCATATCTGCACGGTGTAGTGACATGGATAAAGCAGATGTTTGATCTGACACAAGAGTCCAGGCTTCAGAGCGCTGAGGGAGAGCTGTTCTGTTCTGAGAGACTGTGGGAGGCGCTCCACGCGGGAAGGAAAGATTGATGGGATCAGAGCCTCAGAACAGTCGAGGGGAGCTTGTAGGTGTCTGTCAATGCTACCGTTCACAGTGGCACACACGCAAACTCTCCACATCTCCTGGACTCCACACACAAACATAAACATACAGCCTATCAATAACCAACACACGGTGACATGCGTCTGTCAGCGTTACATAACGTGAGGGATGTTTGTGGAGTGAAGGATGAAAAGGTTTCAGTCCTTTCTTCAATGATTTTTGACTCTTCATCAGAGTTTATGGCTCATACATGTATCACACAACAGGCAAAAAGAAACCTAAATCTTAATTTGTAATTGTAACATTAGGTCAAGAAAACATAGTGACTAGGCAAAAACCTTGGTTTTAGATGGTTTAAAGCATGTTACGCTGAAGCACGTCAAATTCCCAAAGTACACTACCGTTCAAAAGGTTTGTGTTGCTAGGAGTTTTTAGAAGAAGTGTCTTATACTCACCAAAACTGCATTTATTTGATCAAAAATGCAGTAATATTGTGAAATATTATTACAATTTGAAATGACTGTTTTCTATTTAAATATATGTTAAAATTTTATTTATTTCTGTGATACAAAGCTGAATTTTCAGCATCATTACTCCAGTCTTCAGTGTCACATGATACGTCAGAAATATTTCTGATATGCTGATTTGGGGCTCAAGAAACCGTTCTTATTATTATCAATGTTGAAAACAGTTGCTGCTTAATATTTTTGTGGAAACGGTGATGTGTGTGTGCGTGTGTGTTCTGGTATATATGGTTTATGAGGACACAAATGTGTATAATGACATGGGTATTACAACGTAAGCATGGTTTATGAGGACACTTATTATGCTTAAAAAAAAACATACTAAATGGTGTTTTATGAAATTCAAAAATTGCCTAGTTGTCTGTGAGGGGTAGGTTTAGATGTAGGGTTGGTGTAGGGCGATAGAAAATACAGTTTGTACAGTATAAAAACCATTACGCCTATGGAGAGTCCCGGTAAACCACATATGCAAGAATGAGTGAGTGTGTGTGTGTGTGTGTGTGTGTGTGTGTGCTCTTTCTGCCCTTTGTCTCTGGCACAATAACATCTGAGAGGGAGGTTTCTGCCGCAATCCTGGCTGTGCGTCAGTCCAGGTTAACGTCTGCTTGCCGAAAGGGGGGTGTGGTATATGTGGGCCCTGCTCCTGGACATGGGAACAGTTAAATGAAGCATGTTAAAAAGGAAAGGCTTGTCTCTTCCATACTAACACTTGGATGACTCTGCATGCTTTGAAGGGGGCAGGGTGGGGGTAGTTTGGGGTGGGTTTTGGAACTCGCTCACCCACTCATAGTCACTAACCAACCCCCCCCACAACCACCCCACCACGGCGAGGCTGTGCTGGAGGGGGGTTTGCTTTCATTGTCAAGTTACGCATTGACCCATCACTTTGATGTGTATCGATACTGACAGCCCGCTCTCTCTCTCTCTCCTCCCTCCTTCTATCTTTTCCTTTTTCCCCTCTGTATCTTTCTCTTTCTTTTGCTGCAGGCCACTGAGGCTCAGATCCAAAGTGTTGGACAGACGCCATCTCAGTTGCTTATCGAGCCACATCCTCCCCGTAGCTCCGCCATGCACCTGGTGAGAACAGCGTGTGTGAGTGTGTAATAAAATCACTGTGTGTGTATTTGTTGTGCTTTTTTTTCTGTCTAGCAGTAGGGAAGTTATAATTTCGAACAAGGGCAGTGACGCCTGACCTTCGGACCGTTCCCCAAAACCCAGTACAACAGTCTCACGTCCATATGTCCAAAGTTTTGCAGCAGCCATGTTGTAGTTTAGCTCAATCTGCAGTGTGATAACCATTAAAATAGTAATACTTCTATTGTAACTACATTTCAATTTGATTAACTTAACTGCATTTATTTATTTTAAAGATTTTTTTTTTTCAGGAAAACTCTACTTAGCCCGAGCAATGCAGTGTGTGTGTGTGTGTGTGCACCGGGTGGGACACAATTGTGAATAATGACATGGGTATGACATAGGTTTTACAATGTGAAGGTGGTTTATGAGGACACTTCCCGTGTCCCTGTAATTCAAAAGGGTTAAAAAAAAAAACATACTAAATTGTGTTTTTTGAAAATCTTAAAATGCACAAAGTTTTCTGTGAGGGGTAGGATTATGTGTAGGGTGATAGAAAATACAGTTTGTACAGTATAAAAACCATTACGCCTATGGAGAGTTCTGTATGTATGTGTGTGTGTGTGTGTGTGTGTGTGTGTATAAATCCAGGTCATTTCCATTGATTTCCTCTTTGTAACTGTACTGTAGGCTTTATCCAATTTGTAGTTTGCTCCTTACTTGAACCCACATGCTGAAAAGTCAAGCTCTGCTACTTCCAGGTAGTCACTGGTTCTGTGTACAGCAACCTTCACAGAGCCACACACATGCCCTAACACAAATACATGACACACAGCCCTGCCATACTTACAGGAGCTCACAACTCCATCAGGAAGAACTCTCTCATCAGATAGTTGTGTCGGGAGAACAGTGCTCTCTACTGGCCATATAAGTCCTCACACCTCAAAACTAATCACTCCCATCTCAATCAAGCATCTGTCATAACAATCACACTGGAGTTTACAAAGTGAATGTTGTAATGCTGTCAATACAAGTTTTATAATTAGTACTTATTTATATTACTAATTGTGTGCAGTAACCTACTGCTTTAGGTTTCACTGTCAATTGAGTTTGTGGTTGCCAAAGATGTCCATAATGAAATGCTTTGACTATCATGTTCCTCAAATCAGCGTAAAACACGGGTTTTTGAAATAATCGCAGATTGCACATTTCCCTCACTGTCACATCTGTTTGAAGTGTGTTTTTATTTAGACTATACATTTTATTATATATTTTACTGTATTTTTGGGCTCAGTAAGATTTATTTTTTCAGCAAAGTTGCATCAAATTGATTAAAAGTGACAGTAAATACTTTTTTATTTGTATTTATTATTTTTTACTACAAAAATATTATATTTAAAATAAATACTTTTCTTTTGAACTGTCTTATTCATTAAAGAATCACTGTTTCCACAAAAAAAATCACGTATCATGTGACACTAAAGACTGGATTAATGATGCTGAAAATTCAGCTTTGACATTACAGGAATACATTACATTTAAAAAAATATCCAAATAGAAAAGTCATTTTAAATATTTCAATATTTAAAATAATATTTCACAATATTACTTTTTTGACTGCATTTGTCATCGAATAAATGCAGCCTTGGTGAGCCTAATAGAGTTTTTTTTTAAACAGACTTTTGAACTGTAGTGTATGGATAGATAGATAGATAGATCGATCTTCTCCCTGACTCTCCTCCTGAACTACCACACACAGTCTATCCTCTGTTTTCCAATTCTTTTTTTTTTCGCTAACAACCTCTCCTCATCTATCTCTCCCTTCCCTCCCTCTTTTCCATCTTTCTCTTCCTTTGCTTTCTCTGTTCAACAGTGTTTCCTTCCGCAGAGTCCGCTCATGTACAAGGATCAGATGCAGCAGGATGTCATCATGGTGCTGAAGTTTCCCTCCAACTCTCCCGTCACTCACGTGGCTGCTAACACGCTGCCGCACCTGACCCTCCCCGCTATCGTCACCATCACCTGCAGCCGGCTCTTCGCTGTCAACCGCTGGCATAACACCGTGGGTGAGTGGGAATCTCTGTGTATACTACATACTATTTAACCAGCTAATAGCTTGATTTCACCTGCAAACACAAACTCCAACAAAAAACAGCTACACTCCACATGTTACCACTTGGCCATGTGTGAACAACATTACCCAACTAGCCTTTCCCCAGAGCCCCCTCATCTGCGGGTCAGAGGTCGGGCTCAGTGGCCTAAGGTAAAAAGCATGGTTTATGAGGACACTTATTATGCTTAAAAAAAAACATACTAAATGGTGTTTTATGAAATTCAAAAATTGCCTAGTTGTCTGTGAGGGGTAGGTTTAGATGTAGGGTTGGTGTAGGGCGATAGAAAATACAGTTTGTACAGTATAAAAACCATTACGCCTATGGAGAGTCCCGGTAAACCACATATGCAAGAATGAGTGAGTGTGTGTGTGTGTGTGTGTGTGTGTGTGTGCTCTTTCTGCCCTTTGTCTCTGGCACAATAACATCTGAGAGGGAGGTTTCTGCCGCAATCCTGGCTGTGCGTCAGTCCAGGTTAACGTCTGCTTGCCGAAAGGGGGGTGTGGTATATGTGGGCCCTGCTCCTGGACATGGGAACAGTTAAATGAAGCATGTTAAAAAGGAAAGGCTTGTCTCTTCCATACTAACACTTGGATGACTCTGCATGCTTTGAAGGGGGCAGGGTGGGGGTAGTTTGGGGTGGGTTTTGGAACTCGCTCACCCACTCATAGTCACTAACCAACCCCCCCCACAACCACCCCACCACGGCGAGGCTGTGCTGGAGGGGGGTTTGCTTTCATTGTCAAGTTACGCATTGACCCATCACTTTGATGTGTATCGATACTGACAGCCCGCTCTCTCTCTCTCTCCTCCCTCCTTCTATCTTTTCCTTTTTCCCCTCTGTATCTTTCTCTCTCTTTTGCTGCAGGCCACTGAGGCTCAGATCCAAAGTGTTGGACAGACGCCATCTCAGTTGCTTATCGAGCCACATCCTCCCCGTAGCTCCGCCATGCACCTGGTGAGAACAGCGTGTGTGAGTGTGTAATAAAATCACTGTGTGTGTATTTGTTGTGCTTTTTTTTCTGTCTAGCAGTAGGGAAGTTATAATTTCGAACAAGGGCAGTGACGCCTGACCTTCGGACCGTTCCCCAAAACCCAGTACAACAGTCTCACGTCCATATGTCCAAAGTTTTGCAGCAGCCATGTTGTAGTTTAGCTCAATCTGCAGTGTGATAACCATTAAAATAGTAATACTTCTATTGTAACTACATTTCAATTTGATTAACTTAACTGCATTTATTTATTTTAAAGATTTTTTTTTTTCAGGAAAACTCTACTTAGCCCGAGCAATGCAGTGTGTGTGTGTGTGTGTGCACCGGGTGGGACACAATTGTGAATAATGACATGGGTATGACATAGGTTTTACAATGTGAAGGTGGTTTATGAGGACACTTCCCGTGTCCCTGTAATTCAAAAGGGTTAAAAAAAAAAACATACTAAATTGTGTTTTTTGAAAATCTTAAAATGCACAAAGTTTTCTGTGAGGGGTAGGATTATGTGTAGGGTGATAGAAAATACAGTTTGTACAGTATAAAAACCATTACGCCTATGGAGAGTTCTGTATGTATGTGTGTGTGTGTGTGTGTGTGTGTGTGTATAAATCCAGGTCATTTCCATTGATTTCCTCTTTGTAACTGTACTGTAGGCTTTATCCAATTTGTAGTTTGCTCCTTACTTGAACCCACATGCTGAAAAGTCAAGCTCTGCTACTTCCAGGTAGTCACTGGTTCTGTGTACAACAACCTTCACAGAGCCACACACATGCCCTAACACAAATACATGACACACAGACCTGCCATACTTACAGGAGCTCACAACTCCATCAGGAAGAACTCTCTCATCAGATAGTTGTGTCGGGAGAACAGTGCTCTCTACTGGCCATATAAGTCCTCACACCTCAAAACTAATCACTCCCATCTCAATCAAGCATCTGTCATAACAATCACACTGGAGTTTACAAAGTGAATGTTGTAATGCTGTCAATACAAGTTTTATAATTAGTACTTATTTATATTACTAATTGTGTGCAGTAACCTACTGCTTTAGGTTTCTTCCATCTTTCTCTTCCTTTGCTTTCTCTGTTCAACAGTGTTTCCTTCCGCAGAGTCCGCTCATGTACAAGGATCAGATGCAGCAGGATGTCATCATGGTGCTGAAGTTTCCCTCCAACTCTCCCGTCACTCACGTGGCTGCTAACACGCTGCCGCACCTGACCCTCCCCGCTATCGTCACCATCACCTGCAGCCGGCTCTTCGCTGTCAACCGCTGGCATAACACCGTGGGTGAGTGGGAATCTCTGTGTATACTACATACTATTTAACCAGCTAATAGCTTGATTTCACCTGCAAACACAAACTCCAACAAAAAACAGCTACACTCCACATGTTACCACTTGGCCATGTGTGAACAACATTACCCAACTAGCCTTTCCCCAGAGCCCCCTCATCTGCGGGTCAGAGGTCGGGCTCAGTGGCCTAAGGTAAATTAGCCTATCACGGCCTTTCCTTTCGCCTCGCACCTCCCCAGCTGTCACGGCAACACATAGTGATGTCAGGACCAAACGTGGCAACTTCACTCTCTCACACTACTAATGGCTGCAGCTGCAGGGCCAGCCCTCTCCGGCCATATGTGTGTGTGTCGCTCCCACAAAATAATGAGGCCGCCACACTGTCTTTGCTCTGTAGGCCTGCCTCAGGGGTGCTATAGCTCTGGCCTGCCTGACACAGGAGAGAGAGAGAAATCAATAAGCACCATGGAGATCTGACTGGTGGGTCTCCATAAAGACCCCATGTCATATGGGACGGGGTCAGGAAGTGGACTTGACTGTGGTGGCAGGGCAGGTGTCTGTAGGAAGACTTTTATTTCTAAGGAAAATTATTTTATTTCTCAGTATTTTTGTCTTGCTTTCCAGTACAAATATCTAATCAAGATGCATTTCCTTGAGAAGCAAAGGGACTCTTCTCTTGTTTTTTCTGTTGTTTTTTCTTCTGGAAAAAAGTCTTGTTTCCTGCAATATGTATCAAAATGAAGCAGCTTTATGCTTAAAACAAGGGTGAAAAAAGTCTGCCAATAGAGTAAGAGAAATCATTTTTCCTTATAAATTTTTCTTACCCCATTGGCAGATATTTTTTTCTTGTTTTTAAGCAAGAAAGAAAACAAGACTTAATATCATTAGTAATTTTGCTTCTCAAGTAAATGTATGTTTAGATGTTTTTACTAGAATACAAGACAAATATTATGATTATTTTTTTATAGATTTTTTTTTACAGCATGTGTGTTTTTGAACAGGTACTGAACAATGTGTTTCTGATTTATTTTATTTTCTGTGTGTGTGTAGGTCTTCGAGGAGCTCCAGGATATTCACTAGAGCAGGCCCATCACCTCCCCATTGAGATGGACTCACTTATTGGTGGGTTTGAGGTTTTTTGTTGTTAAAATACTTTCTTCTATTCCATTCGTAACTAATTTAAGTAATCTGTTTGCACAGCAGGTTTCTCTGAAAAGTGTGACACTGTGGCTGTGTGGTGCTTTGAAAATATTGCTCTGTTTTATATCCCAACTTATTTGACACAGCAACATTGTTTCAACTGATAGCATGAGTTTGTAGTGGGACTATTCATTTATCCATTCAATAGCAGATGTGGAGAGTGTCATCATATATACAATATTTGTGATAAAGTGACACAAAAATGACATGCTTTAGCTTTAGTAAAGAAGGTAAACACTGAACTTGCATATTTATTAGGGGGAAAAAAACTATTTTTCATCTCCAAAACTTTGGAACTGTAGTTTGAATATTTTAATAAATTAGACTTTTATTTTTTTGTAAGTCGAATGATTTCAAAACTCTGTAAACATGTCTCTTCCAGCTAACAACTCGGGTACAAACAAACGACAAATCACTGACCTGGTTGACCAGAGCATTCAGATCAACACTCAGTGTTTTGTGGTGACGGCTGATAACCGCTTCATCCTGGTATGTGGTTTCTGGGACAAGAGTTTCCGTGTTTACTCTTCAGACACGGGTAAGAGACGCTCATTGGACATTAAGGGAATTATTCACCCAAAATTATACATTTTGTCATTATTTACTCACCTTGAATCAAAGTATCCTGAAGGTAGTCCATATGACTTTTATGTTGTACTTCTGAAGCCGTACAACACCCAGGTTAGAGTCAGCGAGCTGAACTCTGAATTGCGAATTAATCAATTAGATTGGTTATTTGAACTATTATTGTTAACTACTATTATTGAGTCAACTGATTCATTAATGTGTACACAAAATAATTTGTTCAAAAATCCATTTCTCTCTAGAACTTTCTTGAAACATAATTTGGCTTCAGGAGACTTTTTTTTTTTAATGAGTGACCAAGATATTAATGTTTATTGGTCTGACCAACATATTTGTGACCCTGGACCACAAAACCAGTCATAAAGCTTTCCATTGATGTATGGTTTGTTAGGATTGGACAATATTTGGCCGAGATACAACTATTTGAAAATCTGGAATCTGAGGGTGCAAAAAAATCGAAATATTGAGAAAATCGCCTTTAAAGTTGTCCAAATGAAGGTCTTAGCAATGCATATTACTAATCAAAAATTTAGTTTTAATACACTCTAAAAAAATGCTTGGTTGTTTCAACCCAACTTTGGGTCAAATATGGACTAACCCAACTTTTGGGTTAAAACTTTAATTAAAAAATGTAACCCAACAGCTGGGTTAGTCCATATTTGACCCAACGTTGGGTTGAAACAACCCAGCATTTTTAAAGTGTATATTTACAGTAGGAAATTTACAAAATATCTTCATGGAACGTGATCTTTACTTAATATCCTAATGATTTTTGGCATAAAAGAAATATCAATCATTTTGGCCCATACAATGTATTTTTGGCTATTGCTGCAAATATACCCCAGCGACTTGAGACTGGTTTTGTGCTCCAGGGTCACATTTGTGCTTTGAAGTGTGAGGGACAAAAGGAACGTATGTTTGTTTGCAGGCAAGCTCACTCAGATAGTGTTCGGTCACTGGGACGTGGTCACATGTCTGGCACGCTCCGAGTCTTACATCGGTGGTGACTGCTACATTGTGTCGGGATCCAGAGATGCCACTCTGTTGCTCTGGTACTGGAGTGGGCGGCACCATATCATAGGAGACAACCCTAACAACAGTGAGTAGCAACTAAACCTGAAGGAATAGTTCACCCAAAAATGAACTGTCATCGTTTACTCGCCCTCATGCTGATCTAAACCTGTATAACTTTGTGAACACACATGGGGATTTTTTTTCCGTACAACAAAATGATACATTCCCAGGTCACTATATTCTTTTGGTGTATGAAAAATATGCTTTTGGTGTATAAAAAAATAGATAGTAATTTGGGTTTGGAACAACATTTTATTTTTTTGTGCAAATTGTGCTTTAAGCAAGTCTCTTTGCTCTCTGTTTAATCTAATGGCTAGTTCCGTTGCATTGCTCGGCTCGCTCTCATTACAGATGGGGTATCATGTGGAAACGGCCCCTCTATAACTCAAATGATGCCAGTCATAGTGAATCACAGCCTGACTGGAAATAGGGTTTAAATGCAGTTAGAAGGTTTAATGTGGGTGTTATGGGATTACTCCCATAAGCCGCACTCTGTAGAGACTCAACTCACCCACACTGCCATCATTCACTCCCAGCGCTGCTCTACATGTCTCTCTTTAAAGTTGTCCAAATGAAGGTCTTAGCAATGCATATTACTAATCAAAAATTTAGTTTTAATACACTCTAAAAAAATGCTTGGTTGTTTCAACCCAACTTTGGGTCAAATATGGACTAACCCAACTTTTGGGTTAAAACTTTAATTAAAAAATGTAACCCAACAGCTGGGTTAGTCCATATTTGACCCAACGTTGGGTTGAAACAACCCAGCATTTTTAAAGTGTATATTTACAGTAGGAAATTTACAAAATATCTTCATGGAACGTGATCTTTACTTAATATCCTAATGATTTTTGGCATAAAAGAAAAATCCATAATTTTGACCCATACAATGTATTTTTGGCTATTGCTGCAAATATATCCCAGCGACTTGAGACTGGTTTTGTGCTCCAGGGTCACATTTGTGCTTTGAAGTGTGAGGGACAAAAGGAACGTATGTTTGTTTGCAGGCAAGCTCACTCAGATAGTGTTCGGTCACTGGGACGTGGTCACATGTCTGGCACGCTCCGAGTCTTACATCGGTGGTGACTGCTACATTGTGTCGGGATCCAGAGATGCCACTCTGTTGCTCTGGTACTGGAGTGGGCGACACCATATCATTGGAGACAACCCTAACAACAGTGAGTAGAAACTAAACCTGAAGGAATAGTTCACCCAAAAAGTAAAATTTACTCACCCTCAGGCCATCCAAGATGTACATGAATTAGTTTCTTCATCGGAACAGATTTGAATAAATGTAACATTACATCACTTGTTCATCAATGTATCCTCTGCAGTGAATGGGTGCCGTCAGAATGAGAGTCCAAACAGATAATAAAACATCACAATAATCCACAACATGACTTCAATCCAGCAATAACATCGTGTGATGCAAAAAGCAGCTTGTTTGTAATAAAACAAATCCATCATTAGGATGTTTTGAACTTCAAATGGTTGCTTCTGGCTAAAATATGAGTCATTTTATTATTGGGTGAACTATTCCTTTAAGCACAATTACCTCAATATTAAGCATACTACATTATACAATCATGCAAGAATAGACATTAATATTAGATGTTACATTAATAATGGAGGAGATTATAGAAGCTCAAACACTAGGCAACATAATATATATATATATATATTTTTAATTTTTATATTAACTTTTGTACTAACAAAAGCTATTATTGCATAACAAATGAATGCATTACAGCTCCTAATTGTTCCAGGATCCCTTGCTACAGAAACCAGAAAGCTGTTTTTTGTAACATGAGCTGCAAACATGTTAATAAGAAAACAAGTCTGCACGTCTGAGCTTGCTCTTGTGTGCATTTTGCAAAGATGTGTGTCCTTTTGCTCCGTTGATGTGTATTAGATGTTGTCCTTGTTTCAGCATGTCATGAGCTGTGGTTTAGGTGAGCGTGTTCTCTAATTAACTTCAGTGATGCTCAGACAGTTAATTAAGGATTTCAGCTCGACTGCCTCCAATTAGCGAGGTACAGCCCCGCTCCTGTTTTTAAAGCACAGCGAACAAAATTCCCATGATATTCACACACAACTGCTTACTGTGTGCCCTCACAAAGGAGACGAATGGTCTGTATGCTTGAAACTGGAGGGAATTATGAACAAAGAACTATTTATATATAACCAGGAATAAACCTAACATTGTTAACTTTATCAAGCTCATGGTACACCAATCTAGTACCAATTTGGTGTCATTATGTCATGCAATGTAATAATGTCATAATTTCAGCTGCACTTAATTGCAGTCATTTCTGAGTAATACTAATGAACACTATTTATATGTAATTATTTCTTGGAACAGCTTAATAGTAATAATAATAATAATTTAAGATTTTTAATTTAAAAAAGAATTGTCAATGTCCAAAATTCAAATGGATGAAAATGTTGAGCCCTGTCCTCTAAGAAATGAACAGTGGCCTCTCGTGGTGTATTTCAGAACTATTTTTGGGAGCACAAAAAGGTTCAATATAAATTTACGAAAAAAAAAACTAACTTAGAGAATAAATGTAAAAATACTGATATATATATACATTTTCACTATTTTTTTATTGTATTTTTAACAGTTTTTTTTAAATCATCTTTAAAATGCTGGTTGATCTTATTTCGTATTTATTTTATTATTATTTCATGTGTATTTCAACAGAGAAACTTATTGTAAAGTATTTTTCTTTTCTTTTCTTTATTTTGATCTTATTCTTTTATAAGCATGCAGTATATAACTGTTTTTGCAGGAAATATACTTTGACCTGAGGCAAAACTTTCACAGTTACACACACGTACACACTCCATAAACCTAATTCTGTTGTTAGTATGTGATCTAAAGGGGAATGCACTCATTTAATGCAAAAGTATTTTATTTTCCCTCATTATATATTCCAGACTTATACCCAAAATTATTTGAGGTTGTTCAAACGATATCAGTGTAGCAGTAAAGAAAAACAAACCCTCATTAGCGTGTGTTTTTGTGTCAATGATAAGTTCAGCTGTGCTTCATCAAGCTTCCCCACACTGCACTTTTTTCATCTGTCTCTCAATGGAGAGTGTCAGGACAGGAACATCCATGAATATTCAGCAGATATCCCAGTACCGGACCCTGAGGCACTCCGACATGGTGTAGAAATTGATTTCACAGTTGCCCGAGAAAGCCGGAGTGTGTCTTAAATGTGCAATGATTAAAATCCCGTCCGGCTCAATCAAGGCCCCGGTGCTTCATGACCCCAGCAGCCGCTCTCCAATTTACACCTCTTAATTGTGTCGCTGTACCGCTGCGGTTTAGCGCGAGGGTTTAGAAGGGCCCGGGTGCGGACTGATTAAATCTATTGTGATGAAGGTGATCTGGGATCTCCCGAGGGATCCAGTGCTGACACACGTCCCCACCCTGATCACTGACAGCTGGGCTTAGCGCTGTCAGACGGGCCCCTGTGGAGAACTCAGTAAACACGGGCCCATATTGATCAAGGCCTGAGTAACCTTTGATTGCTCGCCAACTTAAAAAAAAAACATCTGGATTTGTAGCGGTCATTCTATTGATTCCTGGCTTCATTTAATGGTGCTCTACATGCAAAGTAATGGCATATGTCTTTATTATGTGGATGTTAATGAACTTAGTGTTAGTGTTAGATCTCAATTAATGGGATGAACCTTCTCCCTGTACTACATTATTAGCTTTGTTTTATAAATCCCTCTGCCTGTACACGGACAGCGCGTTATGTTTGATGCAGTACAGATTAAAACATACAATGTGGCCACTTAAAATCAGGAATTTATCATCAGAGAACAGCTTTATGGTTTATTTAAGTTATTAAAGAAATGATCAGAGATGCAGTGTAATTTAAAGTCATATAGGACGTGCCAAAACAGTAGGATTTTCTTTCAATATTGGTCGCTCTTTAACATTCAGTTGCAATGAATCAGGACTTCCAGGCTTCATAAAGAACATGACAGCACCATAAAAGTAGCCCAGACATCTTCTGAAGTTATATGGTGACTTTTTGTGCAGAACAGACTGAAATTTGAGCCTTATTCACTGAAAATATTGAAATTTTGACATCAGCTCAGCTCACCAAACGACCCAGTTCACTAAACCTGAATGATTTGTTCATGAATCAGCCTGATCAAATTCTCAAGTTTAACTCACTGACTGTGCAACTGTTGCAAAAAAGAAATGTTTCTTGAGCAGCAAATCAGCATATTTGAATCATTTCTGAAGTATCATGAGACACTGAAGACTTGGAGTATTGATGCTGAAAATTCAGCTTTGACATCACAGGAATAAATTACATTTTAAAATATATTCAAATAGAAAACAGTTATTTTAAATTGTAATAATATTTCACAATATTTTTGATGTATTTTTGATCAAATAAATGCAGCCTTGGTGAGCATAAGATACTTCTTTCAAAAATAATAAAAAATCTAACCGACCCCAAACTTTTGAACAGTACTGTAAATTCGGGTCTGGGGTGTTAATTTGGTAAATTTGGTGTTAATTACTACTTTTTATGGAGCTTCTGCATCCTTTTTGAGGCTTGGCTGCTTATGTTGCATTAATTGTAACAGCATCGAGAAGTGTGAGCTGCACATTATTTAGATTTGTGTTCCACAGAAGAGAGTCAAATGTGTTTGGAACATGAGCACAAGTAAATGATGACAGAACTATCCTTTAAACCAATGAAACACACACACACACCTTCTCCAAAAGCACTGTTTGATCCATCTGGAAACATAATGTTGATCCCCCCCCCCCCCCCCCCC